AGTTATAAATGTGCATGTAAATGAAGGCTCTCTAAACACTAGAACAGCTATTAGAGTGCATGTAAGTGCTGTGCAACCTTCCATGCTGTCTATGAAGGCACCAGGCTTTTGATCTTTAACATCCCTGCTGTTCATCTGAAATTCTTCTGGGAAGCAATTTGGCAGTCTTGCTGATTTTGTTCCAAATGAGTGCTGCTTTGTATTGTGGACAGTTGTTTATTATGGAGCAATATAAAGCTGGTCCCTCTGACAGCTCTTCCTGGATCTCTTTCCATCTGCATAGTTGAAACTGAATTCTTTCTTCTTAAATCCTCTCACTACCCTCATTCTGTTACTGACTGTTCTCCCTGACCCTCTGGTCTGTACATAGAAATCCTTCCAGGTCTGCATAATTATCTATGCCTTCAGGTTGCATCTAAATTTTGATGCAGCTTCCTCTGTAGCATTTCTAAGGTTGCATAGATCTTTGTCTTTTATCAAGTGTGCTCTAATTCCCTCTGGTCCAGTGGAGTCATCCTCCCCTCTGTCCCATCTAAAACTAAGCTGTTATGACTGTCCCTTTTCCCTTGCTTTTTTGACTGTTCTAATTATGGGCTTTTTTCTTTTTCTTTCTTTTTTTTAATCCCTTCACCAAGCATATAATGCAAGTTACTTCACCTTGCTCCAAGGCCCTTCGGAAATCCGCCCCTTTTTATTTATCAGCTGTTGGCTCTTCTCTCAAATGGAGGATTATACAAGTCCACCTGGGAACGTTCCTTAGTTCATTTATTTCCTGTCCTTTGTCCTCTTCCATGCTACTCCATACAATATCATCAAATATCTTCTCAGACCCCATTCTGCAATGATTAAGTTAGCTAACGATGGAGAGATTGAAACTAGGTGAGACTAGGTAAAATATAACAAATAAGAATCCTTGAACTTCCCCTACCCCTCATGTGTGAGATTGAGTTCTTTGCATCAGGGACAGTTTCCAGACATGGATAGTAGTTCACATACTGTTGACATTAATAGGAAAGCTAATTCCAGTTTGTGTCAGTTAAATCTTATCAGTGAATTCAAGCCCTTCAGAAGGGAATACACTTAACTACTGTGCAATCCTAAACCTTTAGGCTAATTACCCAAACATATTTTCTGTATCTTGTATTTAAGGACAAATGTTTCAGCACATTTGAATTGTACCATCACCAAAAGATAGCAGCTGAAAAATTATTAAGGAATGTAGTTTGTTCAGGATAGAGCTATGATGTTGGAATTTCAGTGGTTCATTCATTTTCGTTTTTGCTTCTGGCTTTTCTTCTGATCCTAAGGAAACCTTACTCCTCCTTGTTCTCCCCGTGCCCTTCCAACTTTCCTGTTGATTGTGCAAAAATTATATTATGAGATTTTTTTTGTCTAATATATCAGTTCCTAGATGATGCAGCTATGTTAACTAGATCATCCTATCTGTGTTTTTTAACCAATTGTTGTTGTAAATGCAGAGAAATCTGGCTAATTATAATAGTAATTTGTCACAGTGGCCTTGTTACTTGATTCACTGCTGGTCTTATTGAATGTGTATACTTTGTGTACAAATTAGCATTTGTTGTCTGTTAAAATGTAGTTAGTCATTTGCAAATGTACCTGCACAGTGATAATGGGCCTGAAAGGTACTGAACAATGTCTTCTACAGCACCTGTCAAGCCAGATGAGGTTTGTAAAGCAGTGGATACTCCTCAGGTTTTTTGGCATAGGGGATTAACTGTAACATTTTACAAATTTTCCTCCTTTTGGGGCAATGAATGCATGGAAGAATGCAGAGCAAGGAACTAATAGATTATTTTACTCCTTCACAATTGTGCAATTTTTACAGGGAGCTTCTGTATTTTTGTAGTAAGGAATTGTATATTAAGCACTTAACTGTATGGTCATATAGTTATCAGGAAGCAAAAAAAGGGCAAATTTTTTGGTAAAAAGACAAGTTTTATCAACACACTTCCTACTTTTTGTATTTGTTTTAAGTAGCAGGAATGTCAAGTATGGGTTTTTTTTCCTGCCTCTTGCTGGCAGGCTTGGAGGTTTCAGATTATAAACCACATTTTTCTTACTTTTGAATGGGACAGACAACTAGAAGAGATTTCCTGGATTGCAGGTACCACTTCATGGAATCCCTTTCATAAATTAAGTTCCATCTTAATAGCAACTAGACTTTTTTTTTTTTTCTTTTTGCCCCCACTTATTCCATTGCAAGGCTGTTCCAGAATGTGATTGCTTTACTTTAGGTGTGTCAAAGATGCACAGGTCAGATATGGACCCGAGACCTCCTGGAGGAGCTGGGGATTTGGTGTGGGGTGAGCAGGGGAAAGGCCTGTTCCCAAATTCCATTGGCAGCTGATAATCCCCATGGCTAAGAAACCAGTGGAGCTTAAGTTTGCTGCCATTTGCCCTGGGGTTAGTCTGTGCCGAGCCCTGGAAGTTTGATGTCTCTGCTTTAATGGATAGGAACCTTTATAATTTCCAGGCCAAATTTCATTTGTGGTCAGTTTATACCCATTTATTCTTATATCACCATTGCCTTTTTAGGTTATAGCTTTTCTTTCTTCCTTATTTTCCTGGTCTGTTTATAGGCAGAAATCATATAACCTTGTTTTTACTAAGTTAAATAAGCCCAACACTTTGCCTCCTCATAAAGTAGGCTATCCATTCCCTCGATTGCCTTCAGTGGCTCTATGCACCTATTTTCTGGTGACCAAAACTATGTGCAGTGGGCAGATCTCCATGCAAACTTACCATGCCAGATAGCAGTGTCCTCAGATATACTTTGTTCCACATGGCTTCCCTGTCAGAAAGTAGCATGCTTCTTTTTATCTGCATGACACTGGTGTAGGTCTAATTAACACCGACTCTTAGCAGTGCCAGTTAGCCTTCCTGCAGTCCTGTGAGAACATGGCTGCAATGCTGGTGGTTGACACACTAGGGCTCCTGACATGTTACATTTTAAAACGTGATTAACATCTTAAATAGTAACCTGGCCATATGTTTAAGTAGATTTAAGGTGTGATAATACGGTGGATAATACTTTGTGGTTCATTTGTATAATGCCTTAAATTGCATGTGTGGCCAATTTGGGGCTGGCCCATGACAGATCCCAACACTCAGCTGAGTGTCAGGATCTAGTGTGGGACAGCCCTAGGGCCTGGCATACAGCTGTCCTAGCAGCCTGATCCTGGGGTCTTCATGCACTGGCAAGTTGAAAACTCGGCATGCTGCCCAGCTGAGTGGTACATGGGGGTTTAACTCAGCCCCAGCTCGTGGGGACCCTGGGATTGGGCTGCCATAGCCCAATGCTGGGTTCTTGTGCGCTAGGACCTTTAAAACCCTGTGTACCACCAGGCTGAGCAGCATATGGGGTTTAACTCGATTCTGGCCTTGGGGACTGAGATTGGGCTGCTATAGCCTGATCCCAGATCTCTGTGCCCTGGGACCTTTAAAACCCTGTGTAGTGGTCAGCAGGGCAGTGTACCTGGTCTCTGTGCTCAGGGCAGAGTTGAAACCTCTGATGATTGTCAGCTGCGGTAGAGGGACCTGACTGGATTTCAGATCTAAGTTTGGTACCCTGCTGCAACTGACAATTGTTGGCAGCTGGGTTTAAATTTGCTGGTCCAGAGGGAGCCCAGGGATCATGATCCTGGACTGTATGAAGAGGATCTAATCTCTGATCTCAAAATCACACATCCTGCTATACATGTGAGCTTAGACCCCATGGGACCTTAAACTGGATGTCTTTCAGAGGCCTAGTTTGCACAAGCGTGGCATGTCTGAGTGCTGTGCTGGGTAGAATGGTAAATTTAGCATGTAGGTATGCCTAGTATTGTACTAATGCTTGCCTTTATTGGATAGATGCCTTTGGATGCATCTCGGCCTGTGCACACTTTTTTCACAGTTTCATCACTGGTAGTGTTGATGCTCAGTATTTCTCGGCAGCTGCTTTATCAGGTGTTCAAAATATTATTTTAAAATGTGAATAAAAATTACTTCTTGTATGGGAAAATTCTACTTATGATGTTGTTATAGATGAAGCTAGTAGACAAAAATACTTGAATTAAAAAAAAAAACAAACCAAAAATATCTCCCCCTCCCTTCTCCCTGCCCAGTTTTCATTAGCTTATAACAGAACTCTTAACTAACTTGTTTGGCTTTACCATTTTTCACTCAAAATTTCATGGGGTTTCTTTTAACTTCAATCTCCCTTAGAGATGAGGTAGTACAGGTTTCCCTTGCTTTATGCTGTATATGCGTTCCTGGAAAACTGCACATAACTCAAATTCACATAAAGGGAACCCACTTTACAACGTAACAAATAGGGATACTGTACTGTACTGACGTGCAGACCTATTTCTACCACTTTTACAAGACAGTTTTGGTACTCGCCAACAGCAGATGGTATGCACAAGCACAGGTTGGTGGTGAATTTTACCATATGGGGATGGCAACTACAGAAACGTGTCTCAGACAACGAGTGAGGAGCACAGATCCACAGAAGAGACTCTTTTGGTGTGTGTCACTCCCATAATGCACCGTACAAAGCAGCTGACTGTGGGCTTCTACCACACCACTCGCATAAGAGTGAATTTACCTCACTTATAATGAATTTTTGGTATAAAAAGGGTCATCACACATACAGAACCCACATAAAGCGAGGGAAACCTGTATGTCTCCTTTGTGTACTGTACATTTAAGAGGAGTTGTATATTGCCTTTCCTTCCTAACTTCAGTTTGGTGACAGACTTTTTGGTTGAGCTAAGTCTTACTTTTGGAGTGATGCAAAAAAGCCATATAATTATTTCTTTAAGTGTAATTGTCACTTAATTATAGGAAATCGGGGGGTGGGGGAAAGGGTGACTACTAAATAGTTCTGTCTTCACAGTGTATCATGATGCTTGTACAATAGGGATGACCTTTATTTGCTTAATGTTTATGTTCAGACCTTAAAACATTGCTTAAATTTAACATCTTTATTTTAGAGGTTAAGAAGATTATCAACCAAATATAGAACGGAAAAGATCTATCCAACGGCCACTGGTGAAAAAGAAGAAAATGTTAAAAAGAACAGATATAAGGACATACTGCCATGTAAGTTTGACTTTTATTATACAGATCAAAGAACTGTTAATTATCCTTTCCAAATATACCTTGAGTCTTACTGTTCACATCCTGTTGAACAGCTAAATTATATGGAAATTATCCTCTGCTGTAAGATTTACTGCAACATCTTAATTTTATCACCAAGTTGAGAGGTGCTGCCCAGGCTCTTCCTTCTTCCCCCCGCCCCTCCCAATCTTAGTTATTTTCATATATAAGGCTATTGGATTAAAAAGGAATATATGAATACCTGGACCTTTTGTTTCCAGATCTGGCAAGCTGGCACTTTCCATAAGCAGCAGATTAATTCAGAATTTAATTCTCTGTCATCACTGATTTTTATTTTATTTTCAATAATCAGCTGTTCAGCAGAGGTGGGCAGCAGTAGCTTTGTAACAGTGAGTTGTCAGTCCTACCAGCACCCTGCTGCTCCACTGCAGTGGGAATGCCGGCAAGACTGATACTGCTGTACTGTCATCGATGGTGGGAAGACCTGTCACTGCCCAGGGTTGTGGGGTAGGGAAGAGAGGACTCTCAGGTAGGGCAGTAACAGTTCATTGGGTAGGCAGGACTGCTGGATCAGCTGTTGCCACCTTGGGCTGCAGGTGGCAGCCCCAGCTAATTGAGCAGGGGATACAATCTAATTAGGTGTTGCTGCTGCTGGTAGTTCAGATTGCCATGATAGCAAGAACTAATTGAGTGAGCCTTTGTATCAGCTTTGTAGCACCCCAGGCAGTGCATGCCTCCTGTTTTGTTTGTTTGTTTGTTTGTTTGTTTGTTTGTTTGTTTGTTTGTTTGTTTGTTTGTTTGTTTGTTTGTTTGTGCTAAAAATGAATGTGCGTCCAAGGCTTAAGATGCCCAAGTCCACTTAGGCCTCTAATTGAGGGCCAGATTATGTTTCATCTAAGTTAAGATGCATCATGTCCACTGTGGAGGAGGCACAAAAAACACTTAAGGACCTCTGCCTTCCGTGGTCCCAGACACAAATTAATCTTTCCAGTTTGTCATTGGAAGGTAGAGTGCTCTCTGAGGGCTCCAACTCTGAAGCTTTCTACCTTGATCTAACGTGCTCCAAATTTGGTGCCTTTCCAGACAGACTGCAAAAGATATGCCTGACATGGCTTTTGGAGAAGGATGAAGGCATGCTTCTTGCAGTAATAAAAGGGCAAAAATGAAATCTTTGTAGGTATCTGGTTGACGTGATTCATAAGTCTGAAGTTGCTGAAATGCTGTTGTATTTTTAATAGTAAAATAAGCACTTGGTACCCTGGCAAAAACATTTTTTCTTAGGGTTTTTTTTTCTCTTTTGTCTTTCAACATTGAAAAACACAAAACTAGTTCAGGAGAAAAAAATTAAATGTGGGGCAATTGGGAGCTAAATCAACTGTTTGAAAGTAATATGAAAAATGGGGCAAACATTGGCTGAATTCATTGTTATTCAGGTCAATTGGAAGTTCAGATGTATGATTTCCTTTGGTTAAGGCATGAATTTTCTCAGGTATTCAAGAGATCTGGTATGGTGATTATGATTTTTTTTTTTGGTAAGAAAAATCCAGAAAACTTTTCCAGGGAAAATACTTTCTTCTGACTATCTCATAACAAAGCAAACAGATTAAAAAAATTATAAGTACATTTTCTTACAATTTAAAAATAAATAAATTGAAAAATAAAAGCATTTCTAGGTTATCTTTGTATTTGGGAGAATTTCTTCTTTTTGCCAGAGAAAGATGTAGGATTGGGGTGCCCATCATGAGTTCAGACAATCCTAGTTTCAGCCTAAATTGGCATGTGTTCTTAACCTGCACATGCTGTGTTTAATAAACTATCCTAAATGCTATTTTAGCTAAAAATATTGAGTATTCATTATTTAAACGGAACAATTTTAAACTCTAAGCTAAACAATAAAGGTGTATATATGTTCAATATCACAGAGTCCTTGGGATCTCAGGGTTTGCAATGTAATTCAGCTTTGCTGAACAGTTTTATAGTGCAGAATGAACTTTCATTTAAAAAATGTACAGCCCTTACACTTGCGGAGATTCTTGAAAACAAACTAAATATAAAGTGGAGTAGCTATATTAGTTGGAGTCTGCACCTAAATAATAGTTAAAAGTGGTGAACTGCCCTGATAGTTTCAGTTGGGACTTAGTGACCTAACGGCTCTTCAGCCAGGTGCCGTGATGTATAAGCATTTTCTATATGAAGAAGGGCTTGCCTGACATCTTTCGGCTGTATGCCTGGTCCAAAAAAAAAAAAAAAAACCCCCACCAAAAAACTTTTGCTTTTCACTCATTTTCTGGACCATCACAACTATATCGCAGCTCCCAACTCAACTGTGGCATTGGTAATTTAAAGTGTTCTTAGTCTCCTGGAACTTTTCTGTTGAATGTTTTGGTAGGCAGAAGGAAATGGAAAAATTGAGCCTTTATCCTAAAAATTACTTGGAAAAAAGTTTCTGCCTTTATAATTTCTTTTGGGTAGAGGTGAAACTTTCTAAGAAACTGACTTAAGTAAATCCTGCTCAATCAACTACTTCCAGTTGCATATCTCCCAGGCCATATTTAGAACCTCTGTGCTATAGCTGATATGCATAAGTTTACCTCCTCAGCCAACTGAATTCATGTCAGCAAACTCTATTGGGAATTTTTCTGTTTTTTTTTCCTTTGATTACTTGTTCCTGTAAAGGAATGCAGCTTTTTGTTACTTCCATTTCTAGGCAAACCATCATTGTTGCCATTAATATTGTGCAACTAAATTTTGCTTAACTTCAACTTGTGTTTGCTGTGCTGAACCTCACTTTTTTTTTTTTGGGAGTCCCAATAATTAGCCATCTGAGCTAGAGATCCTCTGAAAAGGACAAGGTGGTGGCTGTTACCCTGCCCTTCTACTTGCATTAGTTTATTCAAAAATTGCTAATTTTATTGACTGGCTTGTCTCTGCTCCCAACTACTATTCCTCATGATGATGGGGAAACGTTCTGTTAATGTCTAATTTACCTCATCAAGCATTGTTTTATTTATGCATCAGGTATATCTTAACACATGCTGTAATTCTTCACTAAAAACGATCTTGTTTTAGTTGATCACAGCCGGGTTAAACTGACTTTAAAAACTCCCCCGCAAGATTCAGACTACATCAATGCAAATTTTATTAAGGTATGTATTAATATCTGACTACATTAAAATACTTTCTGAGCTTTGGTTTTTATAATAGTGCCTTTTTAATCTCTTTAATATTCTATGTACTATATTAAATAAAATAATCTTTTAGAGAAGGTTTTCCGTTGGCACAATTTTACTTCATTTGCAAGCATACTGCCTCAGATTTAAGTTTTAAGATTTAATATTATTTATACTACAAGGTACATACACTGTTTATTAAGACATATTCCAATTAAGCAAAAGAAGATGCAAGCTTACCTCATTAAAAGTTTGTATTTGTAATTATGTTGAAATGTGCTGTTCCAAATAACAGATTTAAAAGGGAATCATAGGCTGTTTTTAGAGATGATTAATAGGGTGGGTATATACAATCTATGGATACATGTGCAGTCATGTGCAGCTGAATACAAAATCACTTACTGCATTGAGGTATTACAGATGCAGTGTTTGTGTAGGACATCAAATTTATAATTTGCAGGCTAATACAATAAATATATTAACCATTTAGAAAAAAAATCTAGTTACAGATTTGATAGAATATTGTTATAGTTTGCCCTTTGGCTGTACATCCTTAAGGGACAATTATTAAGCTTTCCTTGCATTTTCCTTTAGGTTTCTGTCAGGTGATGCTTTTAATCACAACCTTTTGCTAAAAAAGAGGCGTTTTTCTTTTAAATAAATGTTATTTTTATATAAATTTGATTAAAAGACATGAACCAATGTGTAGAACCAGTGGAGATTGAATGCTTGTATTTGATTTATAGTAAATTTTTCTGATTGCACAAATTTTACAAGCCTATTTTAACCTTGAAAAAATGAACAATGAAATGTAACGTTATTGAAAAGGAGTTGCATTTCTTGTCTGACTTAAAAAAGAAACATTGACCATTTTCCTTGAGACTTTCCATAATGGGCAGATTTGATAGGATGCATGTTTTCCAATTTTATCTTAAATCATTTAACAATGGAGGAGAAAACTTTTATAAGTCAGGGGAATTGACAGAATTAAAGATTCTTTATAAAATGTCCACTTAATTTACAAACTGCTCAGTTTTAAAAAATGGCCCCAAAATGTTCTCACTTACCACATGTCCCCAGATAGGACATGATGCACCTTGTTTTGGGTGTGGAAGAACGAAGAAAGTTTTTATTTTTTTCCCCCAAAGTTATGGTGGAATAGATTAGGGAAAGAACCTAATCTTTAGCTCACTCTCACTCTCCCTTTCCTGCTTAACCAAAAGCTGAAACTAGTTGCTACTGAAATGGATCCATGAGTGGATCTAGGATTTTGAAAAGAGCTGAAAAGTGTCTGTAGGACTGTGAAATAATTGGGGAGAGAGCAGGAGTAACTAACAAACAGCAAAATTGTCAAGAAAGGATAGCTCTATTAATGGAACATCAAGACTATTTAAAAGAGAGAGGGGGTTGTGAAGTGGAGAGCCATTACTGGGAATCAGGTGGGTGATAATGAGCCTTTAAGGTAATTCTCTCAGCTGCCTAAATAGAAATGCCACTGATGGCAGCTGGCTTCAAACTTTGGGTAGATCAGGAATCAAAGTGGCTGTGACCATACCACTGTACTTGCGAGATCTACCCCTGCTGGACTCTGCCCCTCCATCCATGCAGCTGCTGGAGGAAAGACCTGGGAAAATGAGCAACAGCCATCTTACAGCATCTCCACACTTATTTTTTGCTTCCCTGCTTAAGACAATTATGGAAAGCTAATATTTGAGAAAAGGGTACATGTGGCTTGTGAATAAATACAGTAGTAAGAAAAAAATTACGAACAGATGAAATCTTGACTTCATTTGGAGCCATATTTGAAATTAATTCCAATGGAGCCAGGATTTAATACTTTTCCACTGTATTTGGAGTGTGGTAGTAGCTAGTCCTTATCTTTTGTAAGTAGAAAAAAAAGAGTAGCTCAGAGAAGAGAAATACATTGCAAAGAGATTCTACAGTTGCGTTTAATTTATGAAATTGGGAACCTTTTAAACCAGATTTTCTTTGTGAACATTAGCTGTTTCTTTGTGCAATTTTAGGGAGTATATGGGCCAAAAGCATATGTTGCTACCCAGGGACCATTAGCAAATACAGTAGTAGATTTCTGGAGGATGATATGGGAGTACAATGTTGCAGTAAGTAACCCTTTTTCTTAACTTGTTACCTTATCCCTTGTTATGGTGAAGAACGTTGAGCAGTTAAGAATGCATGTTCATTTTACTGAAAATTCTGGGGTAAGGAATGTTTACAGAAATTGAGCAATTTGGACTTCTGCCAGTCATTCCAGAGACTCAGAAATATGACAGACCAGTAATGTTTAACTAGAGCTTCTTCTATTATGAATAACTTTTTAAATATTCAATTTATGTACTGCCTATAAAACCATTTCATTTTGTATGTTTAGAAATATGTGCATTTTACAAATAGCTCAACACTTCATTAATCACCTTCGTGCTACCCCTGTGGTCCATTATATTCAGGCAAAATTGGTTGTAATAAAGTTCAGACTCCAAAACGTAGGATTTTCTTAAGTATGCGCTTACTCATGAATCTAGCATATATGCCTATGATGTTTGTAACTTGTTCACCTGAGTTAATATACAAGTTCTGTGAAATTTGTACATTTTCAACTGATTCATGAACATTCAAAAATGTACCCCTTCAGTTTTAATAATACAGTTTTAATATTTGAAAAAAAAACCAGATCACTCTGTTTCAATACACATCTGTTTAAGGATATGTACAAATGATCAGTTTCTACCAGGAGAATTACTGTTCTCCTGGCAGAAACCACAAGTGTGCAGATGTTCAAACTTTTCCCCCCTTAAGTAAAAATGGCTGCTCCGAGAAAAATGACCCAGGACCAACCAGGGTTAAATCATTGGGAGAGTTTCTCCCAGGAGACTGAACTTCTGCACACTTGCCCTTGGCTTAACTCTTTCTGGGGATAGCCTTCCTGAGCCCAGGGTCACTAGTCAGGAGAAGAATTGAGAGAGACCTGCTCCCACCTGTTCTGTAGACTGGAAGGGGAGGAAGGAGCAGCTGCCAGCTGCTCCCTGCCTACTTCTCACTCCAGAGTTCCTGGTGTGAGAAGCAGGCAAGGGCTTTACTGTGCCACTTTCTCCACTAAACTGCTGGGCATGGAGAGCTGAACACGGGGAGCAGCAGCTGCTCACACTGGAGTTCCCAGTGTGAGAAGGAGGCAGAGAAGGACCCTGCTGGTCTCTCTTCTTAGCTCCTGGGCACTGGGAGCCAAGCTCAGGGAGTGGCACTGTCCCCTGGCTGCTTCCCTTTGGCCCCCTCCTTTTTGAGTAGTGAAAGTGGTGAATTAAAAGCTGGTGTGGCTAGGAGCCTGGGCTTGGAGAGGCTTTCTGCAGCTTGGTGCCCAGCCTGACTGGCCTCCTCTTTACTCTCCTTGCTGTGCAGCCAGAAGCTAGCCAGCAGGCGAACAGGCTCAGGGAGGGTCTCCCTGGAGTAGCAGGGCAAAGCCCCTTCCCTCCATTCACATTGGAGGCCCTGGTGTGAGAAGCAGGCATGGGGCTTTGCCCCACTGTCCAGTGTTCCTGGAAACAGGTGGAATGGAGAAGCCAACGCTTTTTTCAGACTGTGGGATCACCCTGGCTTTGGAAAGCACAAGGAGCAGGTCAGAGGGGGCAGTTGCAGGTATTTTTGTATTTAATATTAATGCATATGTAGCTTTATGAAAAATAGCAGTCACTTTCTATTTACAAATTTTTAATCTGTTTCCTTCAATTGGTTAACACAGAAGTCTAACTCATTGTCCCGAACTGAACGCAGGGAGCAGCACAGCCTGCTGCTCATGCTGGAGTTCCCAGCGTGAGAAGGAGGCAGAGGATTTGCCCTGCTGCTCTCTGCTTAGCTCCTAGGCACCGGGAGCCAAGCTCAGGGAGTGGCACTGTGCAGGATGTAATTCAAACTGTTTAAAAAGTATAAAGGTACATGCTGCATCTAAGTTTGCAATTTTTCCTATGTGTATCTTGTGCTTTAATGCAAATGGCCATTATGGATTCTCAGCACTCATTTGAGTGGAAAAGTTTCATAGCATACTTTCTTAAATGGTGTTGAATATTTTATAATTTATATTTAATTTTCCCTTTTCAGATAATTGTAATGGCTTGTCGAGAGTTTGAAATGGGAAGGGTATGTATACTATAACTAGATGGATACTAAAATCTCACTTAGGATAGTGTGTAAATAACAACGAGGCTTCATATGAAAAATCAGTCATTCATTATAAATGCAGGTAAACCGCATTCAATGAAAACATTTAGTTTTGTCATTCGGAATGAATGATAGGAGTTCCTAAATTTATATTCAGGAGCAAAATTGCATCAATATACAGCAGAACTCAGTGAGTGGGAACTGCTTTTTCATTCCATAAAGTGGGTGTACTTTGCAAACGGGGAGTACTATAGGAACCTGAATAGAAAATGAACTAATTTTCATATTCAGTTGGGCAAATGTTCATAAAAAATTTAAAATGATCTAATCTTAGTTCTACCTCTGATTTTATCATGGAGATTTTTATGGTCCTATTGGGCATAAGTTCATTTACAGTTCATTACAGGTAAAGAAATCTTGACTGTTGAGTGTATTAGGACCTCTTATCAATTGAGGGGGAATGGAAAGGCCTACTGCCTATATTTAAATCCATGTATATTTACTCAATTTTTATATACATTTTCATCAGGGAAAGGTTACCTTCACTACTGGAGATGCATCATGCGCACACACATGCCCACATACTACTTTGAAACGGGCCCCCCAGAATCATGAGTCTTAAGTCTTACTTTTGCAAATCTTTTGGTTATGTTTTTGGTCTTCTGAGTTTTTGGCTTTTGCCATTTGTCTCCTGTAACTTCTCTTGGTCACAAAGACTATATATTTTTTATTTTTAAATGAAAGCTGAGATTCTTTCACAGGAACAGTAGCTATAAGAAAAAACACCAAATGGGATGAAGCTTGGGTATAAATAGCAAGGATTGACAACATTTTTAATATACTTCTGCTATCTGTGGTTTTCTTAAAATATGGATCCTGGATTAAATTAGAATTGTGTTTTGTGTTTTAACAGAAAAAATGTGAGCGTTACTGGCCTTCACATGGAGAGGAAGCTGTAACTTTTGGACCATTTCGTGTATCGTGTGTAAGTTTAAAGTTTTGTAAATTAGTTGAATGGGCTTTATGCAATGCAGCTTGGACTCTCTCCTTGTATTACTTGACTTTTTAATTTAATTTGTATATTTGGAAAGCAGTAGGTTGATATTAAGATCTAAACCTATTTTCTCAAATTAGTTTTTAGTAAAAGCTCTTAGGCAGTCCTATAAAATTGAAGACAAACTATATTAGTCTTCAGTACCTTTTCATACTTTACAGAAAAATTGCAAATAATTTAAAGTATTAAAACATTTTTCATGTATTAGGGCTCTTGTACAGTTGAACTAAGGCATTTCAGAAGTGCATGAGAGTAAGAGTAGAACTAGAATAGAAAGGAAGTAAGAGGAATTAATGGTAAAAAACTGCACTTAAGCTGCAATAATATTAGAATCTGACTTTAACAGAAATATGAAAGATTCATAGATGTTTGGGTCAAAAGGGACCTCAGTAGATCACAGAGTCCAACCCCCTGCCAGGAGCAGGAAAGAGTGCTGGGGTTAGATGACCCCAGCCAGGTGCATGTCTCGACTCCTCTTAAAGACCCCCAAGGTAGAGGAGAGCACCATCTCCCTTGGAAGCCCATTCCAGATTCTGGCAACCCTGACTGTAAAGAAGTTCTTCCTGATGTCCAGCCTAAATCTGCTCTCTATCAGCTTGTGGCTGGTGTCTCTAGTTACTCCAGCAGGTGCCCTGGTAAACAGAATATCTCCTATTCCTTGCTGCCCCACCCCCACTGAATTTGTAGGCAGCCACAAGATCACCCCTTAGCCTTCTCTTGCAGAGGCTGAAGAGATCCAGGTCCCTCAGTCTCTCCTTGTAGGGCTTTGCCTGCAGGCCCCTAATCATATGAGTGGCTCTCCTCTGAATCCTCTCAAGATTGTCCACATCCCTCTTGAAGTACAGCGCCCAAAACTGGATGCAGTAGCCCGACCAATGCTATGTGTTCGTCATGCACCTGCTAATACATGATAAAGTGTAGTTAGCTTTACTGATCGCTTCATCACATTGACGACTCATATTAATTTTGGTTTCATCAATGACTCTGTGATGTCTTTCTGCTGCTGTGCTGCTGAGAAGGGCCTCCCCCAGCCTGTAAGTGTGTTCGTGATTCCTTCTCCCTAGGTGCAGCACTTTGCACTTGTCTTTGTTGAACTGCATCCTATTCTGTTCCTTCCATTTTTCCAACCTGTCCAGATCTGCCTGGATTCGTTCCCTACCCTCTAGTGTGTTAACCTTTACCCCATAATTTGGTAACATCTGCGAATTTGGACAGAGTGCTCTCCACGCCCTCATCTGAGTCACTGATGAAGACATTGAACAGTACAGGTCCAAGGATCAAGCCTTCTGGGACTCCACTGGCCACATCTTTCCAGGTTGATATCGACCAGTCTACCACCAGTCTGGGTGTGACCCTTAAGCCAGTTTGCCATTCACCTGACTGTGTAATCATCTACATCACAGCCACTTGGTTTACTTATGTGAATAAGATGAGATACTGTATTGAAGGCCTTCTTAAGATCCAAGTAAATGACATCTACCTCAATTTCTGTGTCTAAGCGTTTTGTGACCTGGTCATAAAAAGAAACAAGGTTAGTTGGGCAGATCTACCTGCTATGAATACATGCTGCTTGCTCTTCAGTATAATTTTCCCACTGGAGTCCCACAAATGTGATCCTTATAATTTTTTCAACGGTTTTCCCAAGGATAGATGTGAGACTAACTGGCACATAGTTACCCGGATCCTCCTTCCTCCCCTTCTTGAAAATAGGGACCACCTTGGCCCTTTTCCAGTCCTCTGGGACCTGACCTGAGCACCATGAGTACTCAAACAGCCATGCCAGTGGTTCTGCTATGACACTGGCCAGTTCCTTCAGTACCTTTGGATGAAGATCCTTCCAAGTGGCCAATTCCTTCACCAAGTTGGTGGGCTGGTGTCTCTTTTGTGCGTGTCTATGATCCAATTGGGAGATTTGTCTTGATCCATGTTCAGGAATACAAAAGCAAAAAACCCATTGATAAGAGCTCAGCCTTTTCCTCCCTATCTGTCACTAATTGCCCTAGTTTGTCCTGTAGGGGTCCTATGCTACCCTGCACCTTCTTTTTACTCCCAATATACCTGAAGTTGGACTTTTTGTTGTCTTTATTTTTTGTTGCCAGCCTAAATTCCATTTCTGCTTTGGCCTTTCTAATCACTTCCCTGTAAGTGCAGGCCAAGTAGGTATATTCTGCTTTGGTAGCTACCCTCTGCTTCCACAGCCTTGAGTTCTTAAATGACTTAGTTTGTGTTTCTTTTTAAAGCAACAGTCAACAATACTTTACAGGTAATGGGCCAAGGCAGCCCAGCTTGGTTCTGAGGTGAGCTGGTATTTCTAACCTAGTTGCTACCACCACCATTCCTCCCCACTCCCTGGCTGCAATGTGGGCAAAGCATTTTTCCAATTACTTTCAGCAGTCCCTTGCGTTCAGGATTGTCTTATTTCTGGGTTCAAAGATGGTTGGTGAGGCCAGGACAGGATTGACAGGCTCTGTTGCAACTCGGGCATGCGTTTCCATGCAGGGTGGGTGGCTCTGGATTCTTGATTAGGTCCATGATGCGCTGTTTCTGTTGCTCCTACTTTTCCGTCTCATGCTATCATCGTAAGGTTTCAGAGTACCGAGATCCTTGCAGCAGACTCTTCCTCCATTTTTGGGATGCTCCTGAATGATAGTCTCCCATGAGTTGATGCTGGTGTTGCATTTCTTCAAGTTGGCCTTCAGGACATCCTTGAAGCACTTTCTCTATCCTCCTTTTGAGCATATACCTTGACTGAACCGTGAGAATAAAACTTGCTTTGGGAATCTGGAGTTGGACTTCTGGATGACATGGCTAGCTCAGCAAAATTGATGTCAGATGATCATTGCCTTGATGCTTGTGGTATTTGCTTGCTAAAGGACACTAATGTTGGTGAGTCTGTCTGTCTTTCCACTTGATTCAAAGGATCTTCTGTAGGCATCATTGATGGTATGTCTACGATGACTTGTGTCTCCTGTATGTTGCCTATGTCTCAGTTTTGTACAGTAAGATGGGGATCACAACTGCTTGATTAAACCATGAGCTTGGTTTGATTTTGGGATCTTTGAACACCCATTTCCTCAGGTGTCTGAAGACTGCACTTGCAATTTGAGGCAGTGTTGGGTTTCTTTATAGATGTCAACCATCTGCAAGAGATGGTATCTGAGGTGAATGAAACAATCGTTATTGTATAGAGTCTTGCTTTGAATCTGAACTACTGGAGCTGGGGACTGTTCATTAAGAGCTGCTTGTTGGAAGACCTTAGTCTTCTCAATGTTATGCATCAGTCCCTTTTTCTTGTATGCCTTGGTAAGGACATTGATAATTCCCTGAAGGTCTGCTTCCAAGTGATCACAGACTACAGCATCATTGGTATACTGGAGCTCAGTGATTGAGGTGGGGTGGTCTTAGTTTTGGCTTGGAGTCAGCTGAGATTAAACAGCTTACTATCCAGTTGGTAGTTTAGCTCTACTCCAGCTGGAAGCTTGTTGGTCAAGTGTAGCATTGTGGTAAAGAATATCGAAAAGAGAGTTGGAGGGATGATGCAGCTTTGCTTAACTCCTGTCTTAACCTCGAAGGGATCTGAGATAGATTCATTATTGAGAACTACCACTTGCATACTGTCATGGAGCAGGCAAAGAATGGTGGTGATTTTCAGTGGGCATCTGGACTTCAGAAGGATCTTCTACAATGCTTCTTGGTTGACAGAGTTGAAGGCTTTTGTGAGGTCAGAGAAATCAGGGTAGAGAGTTATGTTGTTCCTGGCATTTTTCCTGCAGCTGGCAAGTTGTGAAGATCACATCAGTCTTGCCTTTTGTTGCCCTAAAACCACACTGAGACTCCAGGAGGGGTTCTTCAGCAAGTGGAAGGAGATGGTCCAGGAGGGTTCCCATAATGCTTTCCTGTGGTAGACAGCAAAGTGATCCCTCTATAGTTTCCACAGTCGGACTTATCTCCTTTCTTGAAGATTGTTACAGTCATGGTGTCCCTGAGGCCATCTGGGATTTCCTCATCATCTTGAATCCTTAAGATGAGGGGATGGAGCTGCACTGAGCTTCTCCCTTCCCCTCCATGCCCCTCACCTCCCAACTTGAAGATTTTGGTGGGGATTTTATCAGTTCCAAATGCCTTGTCATTTTTCATCTGCTTGATGGCTCTCCTCACTTTATAAAAGGCTGGAGGGATTCCGAGATCATCTCTCACTTGATGTTGCGGGATGGAGTTGAGAACGCTCTTGTCAACAACAGTCTTGATTGAGAAAATCTTCAAGATGCTCCTGCTGATGGGCATTGATGGCTCCACTTTACTTGATCAGGTCTCCTCTGTCCTTGGGTTTCAAGGGGGCTGGTCCAAGAGTACTTGGATCATAGATGGATTTGGTGGCACTGAAAAAACCCCACACATTGTGGATGTTAGTGAGATGTTGAATCTCTTTCACCTTCTCACCATCTGTTCTTTTAATGTGTGTCCTCCTTTGGACCTCTGGCTTGGCTTGTTGATATTCAATTTCTTTTGCTTGGTGGTATTCTGCCAAGCACACAGGGCCTTGAATTTGAGGCCATTCAACTCCTGGATCTCCTGGACATTCTCATCAAACCATTTTTGATGTTTTCTAGTAAAGAAATATCAAGTGTCTTTTCATAAGTGCTGAGATTGGTGGATTTGAAGGTACCCCAAGCACTATTGACATTTTCCTATTGTTGATGGGAATTCACCAGTTTTTGTAGTGGCACTGGTGGAAGAGGGCTCGCTTGATTGGATTCTTGAGTCCTTTAGTGTTTATCTTCCGTCGGGGTTGCTTCTGTTGTAGCTGTCATTTGAGATCCAGTTTTGAGTGAGAAAACCAAGCGGATAAGTTGGTAATCAGTTCAGCAGTCATCATAGAATCACAGAAAATTAGAGTTGGAAGGGACCTCCGGAGGTCATGTAGTCCAACC